ATGACCAACAGTGTACATAGGTATGTATACTCATGCGCATAGACAAACAAACTGAGAAATGTTCGGAATAAAATATTAAACGAATTAAAAGCGTTGCGCCACAATTAAAGTTAAATTAATTAGATGGCTGTTAGTCGCTCCGCTCTCTTCTCCTGTTACTCCATGTGTACATATATTTTGGGTGTGGTCAACGCATACTAATTTAGCTTTCGGGGTTAAAACTCTAGAAGGCCAAAAGCGAAATGCTTATGAAGCGGTTGTGCAATAGTGGCACAGCACGCTGGCTTGGATAGATTCTCACCGGATTTCCGTAAAACGCAGAACGCGGATCGCACCCACCATATCTAATTTCAATACTGCGCTATTCAAACCTTTGGACTTCGCTTTTTTCTTTGGTGCGCAAAGTTTTACGTTAATGTTGGCTTATTTATCACCTTCTAATTAGCTGATTATCCCATCTCCTAACTATGCGTTGTTTAGTTTACTATTATTTTATATATGTTATTAATCTTCTAATTAAATTGGTTGATTCGATCAATCTAATGATACATTCAATAGGAATTTGTCTTTGTGAAAAGTTGTTTAAAGTAGTAATCAGAACAAGCCACTGCATTGGATTTTTGGTTCATATAGACCGGGAGATAGTGGTCTTGATTATACAAATTTGTTCAAAAACGTTGGTGCGTGTGATCCGGAAATGACCGCCCAGCCTCAATTACTAATGTAGTTGTTCCTAACCTCTACTTTAAAGTAAATTGTTCAATGAGCGAGGTGTATGGACGATAGCGGGCGGCGCAACTTGTATATATTATTGCATTGTTTTCTTTTATTTACTTCTCGTTTACCGCCGAATCGAGTTTTGCTGTATACCCACGCAAAATAAATCCGTCTATATAACAACCACCCACACAACACCTGACTATCTCTGAAGCAACGGTATTGCTGCCACTGCCATGGTGTTACCATTGTTACAGCACTACTAACGCACATGAATGTTTAGTTGATTTTCAATTTTTTGTGTATGTACATACATCTATACCCACATGTGGGCACATAAAAAAAATGTTTTGTTTTTATTCCTATTCATCTCTTAACAATTATATACTACTGATGGCACATTTTGCAAATATGTAAATATGTATTATAAATCCTTGATGCACTACTTGTTGCAGCGTTAAACAGCTGATTTGAATATCCCGTCAGCAGTATATAAGATGAATATATGAGGGTATAATAAGTGCTCAATAGTGCTATATTGACTTGTATAAAATTCAAACATCCTTGTACATATTAATCAAATTACAAACATAAATGAATGCATATTTAATAAAATGGTCCAAGTAAAGGTTAGTTCTTACAGAATTAATATGTTCGCAAATCATAACACATACATATATTAATATTAATAATCTGTTATTCAGCCGAAAGCCTTTGATGCTAGCGCTGCGTACTTTAGTTTATTTAATAATTTTTTTATTATGTAAGCTTTAATAAAATAAAAATAATAATAATCTGTTAAGGGGTTGAATTCAAATTAAAATTTGTCAGAGAATTGTTGTCGCGTAAAATAAAAAAATGGGGATACAAGTTTGTAATGAAACGTTCTTAAGATTGGTCATAAACAACAATTAATCATATACCCAAAGCCAATTGACATGGAATTCTGACAATATTGTTAGCTAAAACATTATATATTTTTTTAGACTTATGATTGAAAAATTTCTTTTGACCTTGATGTTTGTGTAGCCATGTTTGTATCTGGTATGGAAGCAAACCCATTGTGACTATATACATACATATGTGTGGATATGTATGAGTAAGTGCCATCACATACTGTTGAAATGCTAATTGTGTTTTGTTTTAATTTTTTTTCGGTAATTAACATGTTATGCATGAATGCCTTTTTGCTTCTGGTCAAATCTAAATTTGTATTAGTTTTCACTTCTACAATGTAAGTTTGCTATCTATTGTAAACATTATTTTTTATTTCTTTTTGGAAAGAAAAACTATACATAAATAAATTAGAATTCAAAAACCTCTAATAAAAAATAAAAATATAAAAAAATTTAAAGATTTTGATAAATTTTCTTACAATATATATTTCAGTAATGTTATTATTATATAATCTACGAAGCACGGTTTTAAACGTTGCTTTTTAACTTTTAAATTAGTAGTATTAACACAACTAACTACATCGAGGTATACATTTAAAAGAGAAGTCGTATTACCCGACTGTAATTGAATTCAAAACGAAAGCAACGAAGCGATACAGAATCAAAAAATAATAATGTACCACATTCACTAATACCTTCAAACACTTTGCTAACGTAAATAAATTAATACTAAAGAAAGAAAATACATGGGCAAATTTAAGCTACTAACTCTATATAATCATATATTTACATACATATGTACATATATACACAGACCAACTCACGCACATGTACTGTATTTAATAAAATATATGTACTTCAAGGTTAGACGGAAAGCAACAGAACGTCAAAAAATAAAAACCGACACTAAACCTACGGCAAAAATAATACTAACAATAATAAAGCGAACACCAAATTAACAACAAAAACAAATCAACATAAAAAACACCGGCAAGAGCAGCTAACATACTGAGTTTCAAATGAAAACAAAAAGTACGAACTCTGTTTGTACATGTTTTTCGGCGGATCTCAATGGAGGTTTTGCTTGTCCGACAGCTAAGGAGGGTGGATTTTATTATAAATGCCAAACGAGTTTTCGTTTTATTAAAGTGGAGAAATAGTCATACTAAATGTGAGTGAGAAAAGGAAACTTAAAATTACGACGTGAATTAATTAATTCAAGTAAAAATAGCTTTGATAATTTCGTTTTAATAATTTTTTACCATAATTTGTTGTTAGAATAGAATAATTCTGAGACGTAACACAAATTGTGTGTATATATATGTACATAGAAATTTTTTGCTAAAATATGTGTATGTATATTTTAACTTCGAACTAAAAATAAAATATTTTTAAAGTAGACTTCGAAATACATACTTATGAATGTTGGTGATTTCTTTGGACCATATGGTCCACCTTTACATAGTCACATGAATATCTGACAGTTTATATCTAGTTGTATACATGTGAATGTATGTCCATATACCATTCAGCTTACTTATCTGTAGGTATATACATACATACATGTATTGGCTATTCTCACCATACATTTGGTAACGCTCAATCGCATTGCACAGTTATTTAACATGCTAAAAAACGATAAGATAAAGAACCAATGAACATGAGAATTCCTTTAGAAGTTCCTTTTGCACCGAGTCAATGAGAATTTAACGTCCTTTGTTAGAAATTGTCTAAGCATTCATCTGCTTACAAAAAAAATTAAGCTTACGACCGCCTTTTATCTGATAAGATTTAATTGGTGCGTGTTTTTTGGTTAAAATAAATCGAAAATGGATTCAAATAAAAATGTAAATTCAAAAAAGTGAACACAAATGGGTCACTTATAAGTCCATATTCAGCAATAGCAGATAATATCTAAATACTTTGAAAGTGTTTTTTGTCATTATGTGCAAAGTTTATATATTCCATATACTACATACTTATACATACATAGGTAGTACTTATGAGTTAATTAAAGATTTTGACAATTGCTTGTAAAAAGAAAAGTCGTATTGGCCTAATTCATTACATATTATATAGTATATTCTATATTTATTAAATTAATGTGCTTTTGTAAGAGTTTGAAGAATCATCCCTTTTAATATCAATATATGTAAATACACATATTATGAAACATACAGATGAAGTTACAGTTGATTTGCCACCCTTGAATATTTTATTCGCATTGTTCTTAATACAAAAATGTATGTATATACATACATAAAATTTTTCTTTAAGCTTATCATATGTGTATGGATGTATGTATGTACCTGCACATTACTCCGATTTTAAATGAAATTACTACGCAATATCGCGACGCTCATCTGGAGTTCCAAACCAAAAAACTCATCTGGAGTTCTGGAATCTAGATGTACGAATAATAGACACAAATTTCGTTTTCCCAAAGCATTTTCCTCTCAATTCACACACATTTTAATTTTGTATAAATGTATATTATTATATATACATATATGTATGTATGTATGTATACATTTGTATAATATAAGACATGTCTCACATTATGTACACATTTTTGCTTAGAATTATGTACATATATATGGGGGACTTTTTTAATATTTATAATAATATTGTGAGAGATTTATTTGAAAGTGTATGATCATATGGAAATGTGTGAAAATGAATAGTTTTATTGATCAAAGAAGAAAAATCTAATATTTTTTGGTCCACTTTTTCCGCTGTTAGCTATAATTAATTTTTTCCTATTTAATACTCATTTAAAGACTTGCAGAAGAGAGGGTGGTCGAGCAAGACAAGGTGATTAGCTGATACGTCAGCCATTGGCAAGTATGCCAAAAAATAAGTGCCCGCGGCGCACATCAAACAAATTAAGAATGATGAGATTATATTCCAACCAAGAATATATCTTTTATATAGCAGAATCTTATTCAAACTGATCTCATACGGCCACGACGAGAAAAGAAAGATAAAATAAATATAAATATTATTTTTTATATATATACATACACTATCCGATACCTTTGAGAATATGTATATAGGCGTATTTTATAAAAATATTAAAGTGTTTACACATCTATGGAATATATGATGGAAAAATGTTCAAAAGTGGAGAGTATTGTATGGAGTTATGCAAATCGTATGCAAGTACTGACAATACATACATATGTATATATGTACATACATATTTGTGAATATTTTCGAATGCATACATTTAAAAGTGACGGAGTGCATAAGTAAACACCTGTTGACAAAGATGTACATACACACATATGTACTTTTATTTTTTCTTGTATTGTATGTATGTGTATAATTATGATAAAATTCTTATTATTATTAAATTTAATTGAATAACTTCATTTAGAAACTTACGATTTTTAAACAGTTTTCAAGCTTCAGTTTTATTGCGAGTTTTGCATATATATATGTACATAAATATGCATATTAGCAGTTTAGTAAATATAATAAATCGTCTTAATAATCTTTAACACTCTTCTTTATCATTAATTTGATAAGTCACTTTTTAATATACATATATTTAAGCAGCTTTATAATTCTTAGTTTTTCATCTTATTTAGGAGACTTTTGTAAAAAATATGAAACACAAACACTAGGCACTTTTAGTTTTCAAACTGTGTAAAATTAGTAACTTTCTTTTTTTTAACCTTTACTAGTGGTTAAAACTTTTTTGCACATTTTATTTGCATTCTTAATTACTAATAAATATTTGGTCTTGTCGTCACAGGCCACTAAATCCACACAATCATAAGACACTGCAAATAATTTGTACCGATTTAAGACGAAAGGGGTTGCTAAAAGTTTCAGTTATTGTTTTTCATAGTTTTTACCGAAAATCAACAGGCAATCGGACTTATAAAGCGCGAGTGATTGTTGCGTTCACGACGAGTCCAACACATTAAATAAACTTAGGAGCAAATTTTGAATTTGTTTAATGCGACAATACATAAACTAACAGCAAAGTCAACGCTGACAACGCCAACGCCAGCGACAGCGACAACTGTTACGATGGCGGCACAATCGATGTCTACGAAGGCAACTCGTAGAGTCGTTGAGTCAACCTATGGATTCTATTCTAACGGCGATAGCCATTTATTAACCGGCACCGAAAAATAAGCAGATACGGACTCGCCTTTTAGAGAGAGAGCACGCTTCTCGCGCGTTTCTCGCCTAGCTTTCGAGTTAGTTGTTTATTTAGTATAACTTTAATGATATTGATATTTGTCCTACGGTTCGAGTATTGCGCTAATAGTGGTTGTTTTTCACTTTAATTTCTAAAGTCGGAGCAGAGAGCTTTGCACTCTCTTGATACAATTCGACCACAAGTACTCCAACAACCCCTATTACAGAGCAATAATTTCAATACCAATATCGATATTATTAACATTTCAAAAGAGAAGGCAGTTGGCAATAAAAAAAATCGATGGGAGTTAAACACTGAAAGAAAATTTCTTCATTGGTAAAGGTTGATAATGGTGTAATATTGGAAATCTCTTAATATATTCGCGAACGCTTTTACATTATGTAACGTCCGAGTTTACTGCACAATAATGACTGAAGTCAACTCGTGTAGTATTGAGGTCTGTACCAAATGGCGAAGTAAATAGCATACCAAATGACCAAAAGCTAAAAGCTCTGGAGAGAATTGAATTACTATCAGTTAGCACCACGCCATCAAACAAAGCCAAAACGAAAACGAGAAACTTTTGCTACGCTCTTCGTAAATATTGGCTACCCAGTCAGCATTTGAAAACATAAAATTAAACGTTTTGAAATCGAATCTTCTTGTGTAATGCAAAATTTTATAATTTTATGATAATATTACTCTAGAATAAAAACTGAGACAATATATCTAAAGCAAAAAAATTATAGACAGAAGTAATTATTTTTAATATGAAATTTAAGTTTTCCCCCAAACAAACAATTCTTCAAACATTGGTTGGGTAAGTGGATGTCTGTATTTGATTGTATTTCGACGTGTTCATTAATGTCTAGATATCAAGAGTGTGCTCTCATACGCAAGTCTTCGTGTATGTATGCGTGTTTATTATGCACACAAAGCTTTATTCATATATGTATGTATATATAGCAACTTTAGTGACCCAAACGAAGCAAACAAAATTAAATCGTTAGGTCGAATCTGTAGCATACACCGCACGAGATGCTTTTATCATACACAGTAATACAGTTTATAGGGCTGAATCAAAGCAAATAAAGAGTAGGCAATAATATACAGATCTACAAAAGTGTTGAAGCGACGAATAGTAACAACAATCAGTATAAGTAGAGCTTAAGTAAATACTAACACTGCATTACTTTTGTATATCTATATTAATTTCTAAATGTAAGCACATACATACATATATTGGAAAAGTACGTACAAATGAACATACATATAAAAATGTATTTGCATGAGTGCATATGAATTATTGTGATCATTAGTTCAACGCCGGTATATCATACGAAAATATTCTCTTAAAAATGTTTAATGCGTGTCCTATCATAGCTTAAAATATATAACATCTTCAGTGTTTTATAAAATATGTTGGGTCGAGTCCATAAAAATAAGATTCGGCAAAACTCTGGCAAAATTTAAACAATTTGGCTGAAATAAATTTACAGTCAAACTTCACTATAGTGAATTCGTTCGCGACCTGAAAATCACTTAACTATATAAAAAGTATGCTTTTTTGCAAATTTATTTAAAATAATCAGTAAGTTTGGTTGGAATTACACTCTTCCATTTTTCATTTGCAAATAAACATTCCAATTCATTTCGAGAGTATTTTTGAAAACATTAATCGGTACGTTACGCCTCATTTGCACAAAGGTTTTGATTAAATTAATAAATGATGAAACGTGTCCTAATGCAAGCAATACCTCATCCGTATCTAAAAATTCTTCTTTAACGGCCAGTATAAAAATTTATAATTTTATGATTTTACGATGCTCATATTATGGGTTGTGAATACCCCAATTGTTTTCTACATTTTTTGCTTAACCATAACCAAGTAAAGCTGGAACTCTGCGACTTTCTAGAACATCGCTGAGGATATTTTCATCGGACTGACTGTCCCAGGTCTTCGCACCTACATACATATGTATATAGAAATTAATGTCCATGATCATAACCGAATTTTCCTCATACAATTGATTTTATAAAACCATTTCTTAGTATTTAATAAATTGCTAAGATGAACTCTAAGTTGAAACGTTTTATTTGTCTTGACTTTTTAACTTTGTTAATAATCAAAATTTTTGAAAGTGATTACTACTCAAAAAGCTGAAAAATCTTTTTTAATTTTGAGAAAAAACATATCAGGCTTAAATATTCAGCTATATACATAGATATTATAAATATATTCTATATAGATATTCATTATAAAGAGACAAAAATACGCCGAAAGTGAATCAAAAAGCTGTGTCTTTGAAATTAATTCGGTATAATGCAAGCTTCATTAGTATATGGATGTTTACAAGAAGAAAGTTCGACTGTGTTCATGTATGTACATATATATTCTACTACCCTTTACTTCACCAGATAATTATTCGCTATACATATCAATGCTAGGCTAAGGCAAACACAATGGTTACGATAACCGAGTCAAGTAAGAAAAGATAAAACACCGCTGGCACACCCAATATTATACTACATAAATACATACATACATATGTATGTGTGTATAATGTAAGTGTTAATAAATCAATGAGCTTTTTTCAGTTTCGGCTTTTATATTGAAATTTGTGGTATTAAACCAAGGCATGGGATAGAGAGGGGATAATGAGACAGTACGAAGTATACTAAATGTTTTCGCACACAAAATATACAGCTGGCAGTGTTGGGCGGCAGTGAAATAAAATAAATGACTGTGCGAACACGTTCAACAAACACCACTCACTGTGTAAGTGAGTGGGTTAAAAGCACGACTTTGTTTCTTTTGGTGTGTGTAAAAATTCAACAGAAGAAGAGAATCAAAAACAAAATATTCGAATGCTAGAGTGCCAACGCCAAAATTCGTATTTTTGTTAGATTTCAAATGTGCTATATGTATCTACATATACCCATACATACATAAATACGTTTGTTTCTCAGAGTTCGTCTTGACTTTAGAATGTTTAATAACGCGATTGCGTGGATATATTTGTATGTAAATATTGTGTGTATGTAGATCGGTTATGTATACACATGTTCGTTATTAGGTACCGGCCTTTTCTTTCTACTTCTGTGGATAAGTTTGTATACATATATGTACATACATATGCCCATTGTACATAAGAGAAGAAGATTTTGAGCAATCATTTATCATATAAAATCCAACGGCATGGTATTAAGTTTTTTGAGTTTGTTCCCAGTTAGTCCGTTTATGACCTTGATATTTTCCGACATTATCAAAAAAATTGGGAAACCTCTCATAGCCTAGAATGTATGGAATGTAAGTATGTATGTTAGAGCGCAAGTTGAAAGCTCTACAGGTGTATAGCCAAAAACATAGCTAGTTGTCCGAAATATAAGGTCGTTTAACATTAAAAGGCGGAGTACTCATGTATAAATGATTCCCTTACTTTATTGATTGCCACTTTGTTTCTTTGTTGTTATACAGAACACATAGACATTGCGGCACTTCGATACCAAAACTGTTATATACAATATGTACTATATTTTTATGTGTTTTTGCTATCATTATTAATTATTGTTCGACCAATCAATAGCAACACACATTAGTATGTACATACAAACACACATATGTACATATGTATATATTTGTAGCTGTTATCAAATGCCAATTGCCCGGTTGTGACTGTAGCTTCAACTCCAATTTTTGTAATATTAACTGTTTCCAATCTCCAACTTAACTTATTACGAATTCCTCTCCTTTTTAAATGTTTGATCATTCCATGAGATATCAGCAAGAAAAGATTTGCAGGATAAAAGTACATTAACAAATGATATAACTTGCTAGTTTTTCAGTGTTCGTATAACTGCTCTCTAAGAGATTGCTGGTTTGCCTATGCGTCTGTAAATAATAACCCACACATTTAAATCAAAAATTTTAATATTCTTACATACAATATAGTTGTGTATGCATTCTACTTCAAAACTTAAAAATGAGCCAAACAGCAATAATCGTCGGTCGTTGGTCGTCATGTCAACGAGTGCGGCAGTCGATATGTCGACGGACGTACTGTTAGATGTGCCATTCTAATGGTCAGCCACGAAATCAATTCGAAATCCGTACGTATATATGTATGTATGTACGTATGCATTCATGAGTAATAGGACAAAGTCGGCAAGGGGGGGGGGGGGGGGGCTTGGATTATAAAGAAAATACGACCCAACAAATAATCCAAAAGAATCGTATGTGTGTCAATTTGCTGATCGTTTATTTGATGCCTACCCCGCTGCCAATCGTAATTCTCACCGATGTCTCCCCTACTCTTCTCTACTTCAGCATTTTTGCTACGACTAACACACAATCCACTGCTCTACCTCATTCAAGTACTCATACCTCTCTCCCCCTGCCCAAACTTGTATTTACCTATCGATATGTTGCTGAACAGCATTTTGCCGCGAACTGAGACAAGTGGTCGATAGGTTTACCAACGGTATGCGGGTTACAGGCAGTCTAGTAAATATAAAACAACTAACAAATCGCATGCCTAAGCTTTTGTGAATGTGAAAATTCTATTTTTAGTAAATTCTCTCATCATTGCGTACCTCTGATTCGCCAACGATCTCGTCACCGATATGTGTGGTTGGCCACGACTCACTACTGTTTTCAACCATAAAATCGAACGTGCAGCCGAAGCTGTTCGGTGTATACCACAGTCAAAGCAAAAAGTGAAAAAATAAAATAAAACATAAAAGCGACATTTCATAGGGGATATGAACAATAAGATTGCTATGAAACGGAGAACACAAAATTGCAAAAGCAATTGCTTGCCTCAGAAACATGTGGTATGATAACTGAGGGGATTAAAGAGAGTTGTGTCTAACTTACCGAAGAAGATTGACGAGCCCACGAGTGTTCTAAAAACAACAATAAATTCACTATAGAAACAATAAAGACAAAGTATTAAAAGCACAGAGAAATTTGCAATACATAACTACCCTGGCTGTTTTTTTTGTCAATGTTAGTTCAGTTTTGTTTATTAATTTATGTACTTATCGGTGTTTCGGTATGTGTGTTATTTTATAAACAAATATACATATGTATATGTACAAATGTGTATACATGTATGTATGTCATAAAAAATGAATTCTCCTCTTTCTACATTTTACTTAACTCACTGCTAGATTGATGTATGTATGTATGTACATATTTATTCCTGCTTTAAAATATCATTGAATTATGTAGCATCACAATATCCATATATTTATTGCCATATCAATCCTATCTGCTGTGTATCACATTTAGCTTATATTCGCTCCATTTGAATGAGGTGCTTTGCAGTGAGGTGACCTGGTTGCCTGGTAGCATTATCCAATATACTTATAGTTAAAATCTAAGTTCTACTATCCCGGTCCATAG